GGCTGGACACATATGAGCTGAATGACAGTGACCTGAATTTGGGCAGTGTCTGATGAACTGAGCAGAATTAAGAGAAGCTGGACTCAGCAGAGTAGGGCCAAGCTAGAATAAGTGAGGTGGGTGGCATGAACTGTGTTGGCATACCTGGGCAGAGCTGGGCTAGACTGAGCTGTTCCCTGCTGAAATGACACAGCTGGGCAGAACAGAGCTGAGCTGAGGTGCAATAAACTGGGCTGAATGGGGCTGAACTGGGCTAAGCTGAGCTGAGCTGAGCTGAGTTGAGCTGAGCAGAACTGGGCTAAGTTGAATTAGACTGAGCTGAGTTGAGCAGAACTGGGCTGAGCTGAACTGAGCTGAGCTGAACAGTACTGGGCTGAGCTGAACAGAACTGAGCTGAGCTGAGCTGAACAGAACTGGGCTGAACAGAACTGGGCTGAGCTGAGCTGAACAGAACTGGGCTGAGCTGAAAGGAGCAGAACTGGGCTGAACTGAACTGGGCTGAGCTGAGCTGAGCACAACTGGGCAGAACAGAACTGGGCTGGGCTGAACTGGGCTGGGCTGAGCTGAGCAGAACTGGGCTGAGCTGAGCTGAACAGAACTGGGCTGAGCTGAACAAAACTGAGCTGAGCTGAGCTGAACAGAACTGAGCTGAGCTGAGCTGAACAGAACTGGGCTGAACAGAACTGGGCTGAGCTGAGCTGAGCAGAACTGGACTGAGCTTAGCTGAACAGAACTGGGCTGAGCTGAGCCGAGAAGAGCAGAACTGGGCTGAGCTGAGCTGAGCAGACTGGGCTGAGCTTAGCTGAACAGAACTGGGCTGGGCTGAGCCGAGAAGAGCAGAACTGGGCTGAGCTGAGCTGAGCAGACTGGGCTGAGCTGAGCTGTGCTGAGCAGAACTGGGCTGAACTGAACTGGGCTGAGCAGAACTGGACTGAGCTTAGCTGAACAGAACTGGGCTGGGCTGAGCTGGGCCGAGCTGAGCTGAACAGAACTGGGTTGAGCTGAGCTGAACAGAACTGAGCTGAGCAGAACTGGGCTGAGCTTAGCTGAACAGAACTGGGCTGAGCTGAGCTGAACAGAACTGGGCTGAGCTGAGCTGAACAGAACTGGGCTGAGCTGAGCCGAGAAGAGCAGAACTGGGCTGAGCTGAGCTGAGCAGACAGGTTGAGCTGAGCTGTGCTGAGCAGAACTGGGCTGAACTGAACTGGGCTGAGCTGAACTGGGCTGAGCTGAGCAGAACTGGGCTGAGCTGAACAGAACTGGGCGGAGCTGAGAGGAGCAGAACTGGGCTGAGCAGAACTGGGCTGAGCTGAACTGGGCTGAGCTGAGCTGAACTGAGCTGAGCTGAGCTGAGCAGAACTGGGCTGAGCTGAGAGGAGCAGAACTGGGCTGAGCAGAACTGGGCTGAGCTGAGAGGAGCAGAACTGGGCTGAGCAGAACTGGGCTGAGCTTAGCTGAACTGAGCTGAGCTGAACTGAGCTGAGCTGAGCAGAACTGGGCTGAGCTGAGCTGAACAGAACTGGGCGGAGCTGAGAGGAGCAGAACTGGGCTGAGCTGAACTGGGCTGAGCTGAACTGGGCTGAGCTGAGCTGAACTGAGCTGAGCTGAGCTGAGCAGAACTGGGCTGAGCTGAGCAGAACTGGGCTGAGCTGAGAGGAGCAGAACTGGGCTGAGCAGAACTGGGCTAAGCTGAGCAGAACTGAGCTGAGCTGAGCTGAGCTGAGCAGAACTGGGCTGAGCTGAGCAGAACTGGGCTGAGCTGAGCAGAACTGGGCTGAGCTGAGAGGAGCAGAACTGGGCTGAGCAGAACTGGGCTGAGCTGAGAGGAGCAGAACTGGGCTGAGCAGAACTGGGCTGAGCTTAGCTGAACTGAGCTGAGCTGAACTGAGCTGAGCTGAGCAGAACTGGGCTGAGCTGAGCTGAACAGAACTGGACTGAGCGGAGCTGAACAGAACTGGGCTGAACTGGGCTGTGCTGAGCTGAGCAGAACTGGGCTGAGCGGAGCTGAACAGAACTGGGCTGAACTGGGCTGCGCTGAGCTGAGCAGAACTGGGCTGAGCTGAGCAGAACTGGGCTGAGCTGAACAGAACTGGGCTGAGCTGAACTGGGCTGAGCTGAGCAGAACTGGGCTGAGCTGAACTGTGCTGAGTTGAACAGAACTGGGCTGAGCTGAACTGGGCTGAGCTGAACAGAACTGGGTTGAGCTGAACTGGGCTGAGCTGAGCTGAGCAGAACTGGGCTGAGCTGAGCTGAACAGTACTGGGTTGAGCTGAGCTGAGCAGAACTGGGCTGAGCTGAGCTGAGCTGAGCAGAACTGGGCTGAGCTGAGCTGAACAGTACTGGGCTGAGCTTAGCTGAGCAGAACTGGGCTGAGCTGAGCTGAGCAGAACTGGGCTGAGCTGAACTGGGCTGAGCTGAACAGAACTGGGCTGAGCTGAACTGGGCTGAGCTGAACTGGGCTGAGCTGAACAGAACTGGGCTGAGCTGAACTGGGCTGAGCTGAACAGAACTGGGCTGAGCTGAACTGAACTGGGCTGAGCTGAACTGGGCTGAGCTGAGCTGAGCAGAACTGGGCTGAGATGAACTGGGCTGAGCTGAGCTGAGCACAACTGAGCTGAGCAGAACTGGGCTGAGCTGAACTGGGCTGAGCTGAGCTGAGCACAACTGGGCTGAGCTGAGCTGAACAGAACTGGGTTGAGCAGAACTGGGCTGAGCTGAGTTGAGCAGAACTGGGCTGAGCTGAACTGAGCTGAGCTGAGCTGAGCTGAGCTGAGCTGAGCTGAGCTGAACAGAACTGGGCTGAGCTGAACTGGGCTGAGCTGAGCAGGACTGGGCTGAGCTGAGCTGAACAGAGCTGGGCTGAGCTGTACTGGGCTGAGCTGAGCAGAACTGGGCTGAGCTGAACTGGGCTGAGCTGAGCAGAACTGGGCTGAGATGAACTGGGCTGAGCTGAACTGGGCTGAGCTGAGCTGAGCAGAACTGGGCTGAGCTGAACTGGGCTGAGCTGAGCTGAGCAGAACTGGGCTGAGCTGAGTTGAGCAGAACTGGGCTGAGCTGAACTGAGCTGAGCTGAGCTGAGCTGAGCTGAGCAGAACTGGGCTGAGCTGAGCTGAGCAGGACTGGGCTGAGCTGAGCTGAGCAGGACTGGGCTGGGCTGAGCTGAGCTGAGCAGAACTGGGCTGAGCTGAACTGAGCTGAGATGAGATGAGCAGAACTGGGCTGAGCTGAGCTGAGCAGGACTGGGCTGAGCTGGGCTGAGCTGAACTGAGCTGAGCAGAACTGGGCTGAGCTGAGCTGAGCAGTCTGGGCTGAGCAGCTGAGCTGAGCTGAGCTGAGCAGAACTGGGCTGAGCTGAACTGGGCTGAGCTGAACAGAACTGGGCTGAGCTGAGCTGAACAGAACTGGGTTGAGCTGAACTGGGCTGAGCACAACAGGGCTGAGCTGAGCTGAACTGGGCTGAGCTGAGCTGAGCAGAACTGGGCTGAGCTGAGCTGAGCTGAGCAGAACTGGGCTGAGCTGAACTAGGCTGATCTTAGCTGAGCAGAACTGGGCTGAGCTGAGCAGAACTGGGCTGAGCTGAGAGGAGCAGAACTGGGCTGAGCAGAACTGGGCTGAGCTGAGAGGAGCAGAACTGGGCTGAGCAGAACTGGGCTGAGCTGAGCTGAGCAGAACTGGGCTGAGCAGAACTGGGCTGAACTGAGCTGAGCTGAGCAGAACTTGGCTGAGCTGAGCTGAACTGAACTTGGCTGAGCGGGGTTGAGCTGAACTGGGCTGATCTGAGCTGAACAGAACTGGGCTGAGCTTAGCTGAGCAGAACTAGGCTGAGCAGAACTGGGCTGAGCTGAACTGGGCTGAGCTGAGCTGAACAGAACTGGTCTGAGTTGAACTGGGCTGAGCTGAGCTGAGCTGAGAACTGGAGTGTTCTGGGTTGAGCAGTGCTGAGCCACACTGGACTCACCCTAGTTAACAGGGTAGTGCTGTTTTCTGAGGCCCACTTGACTTAGCTCCGTTGAGCTCAGCTCACTGAGGGAGGTTGTCTTTGGCCCACAGGTTGCGATGGGCTGAGCTAGTGTGAACTTGGTTTAATTTTGTGGACTGAGGTAAGATGAATTTTATAGCTTGAAATGTTCTCTTCTGGGCTGATCTGGGCCAGAGTGGATCAAGGTGGGCTCTTTGGAGCTAAGCTGGACTGGCCTGGTGCTAAGCTGGTTGGTCTCAGCTGGTGCCAGCTGTCTGGACACAGGGTCATCTGGAGTGTGCTCAGCGGGACCAGAAGAGAAGAGCAGAGCAGAGCAGGGTGGATGGAGCTGGGCCAGAGTTGGATGAGCTGAGGTCTGGGATCCCCAGGCCAGGGAAGGGGCAGGCAGAGTCACCTACCGGGGGAGGGGCTGAAGTGGACTCTGAGGTGCCGTTGTTCTCTCTCCACGGAACCTGAGTTGGGCCCCCTCGGAAGGTCTGCAGGAAGGGTAGCATGCCAGGGGAGCCTGGCCGTTCAGTGAGGGGTGGGGTGAAGGGGCACCCACAGTTGCAGGGAGCAGAGCAGAGGTAGGGTCAGGGAGGGCCACACTAGTGATTCCCAGGGGGTGGGGCCTTGGTGGGGGAGCATTGGGTAGGGACAGAGGGAACATCTTGCTGGTTCCTGGGGTCTCGGGGGTCGCTGCTCCCCAGTGGGGGCTATGGGCTCTGAGCTTCAGCCTGGCAAAATGCCTGGTGCCTCTACTGCCTGAGAACCCACATTCTGGCCACTCAGGGCTGGGGTGGGGATCCTGACCAAGGGTGGGGACAGCAACAACGTCTGGGGGGCACAGGTTTCTACAAAGGTATGTGGGAGGAATCAGAGAATAAGCCCAAAATGAGCCTGGGCTGTTCTGTCCCCTGGGGCTGGAGCAAGGGTCCAGTGCTCCTCCCACGAGGCCACCCCACCTCCGCCACACAGTGCTCCCTCCCAGACTCCCTAGGCCCTGGGAGTGGAAGCCCAGGTCAGAGGCTGGCCAGTGCTGATGTGGTCCCGGTTCTATCCCACAGTCTCCAGTCAGGGCCCCTCCGTCTTCCCCTTGAAGTTCTGCAAAACCACCAAAGGCGGCAACTCCGTGACGCTGGGCTGCCTGGTCAGCAACTACTTTCCAGAGCCCGTGACCGTGACTTGGGACGTGGGGTCTCTGAAAAGTAACATCTCGACCTTCCCTGCCACCTTGCTCTCAACCTCCGGCCTCTATACCACCACCAGCCAGGTGACCGTCTTCGGCGAGTGGGCGGAACAGAAGTTCACTTGCAATGTGGAGCACGCCGGATCCGCCCCCATCAACAAGACGGTTTCAAGTGAATCAGGTGGGCCCAACTACAGCCAGGGGGCTGCTGTCGAAAGACGAGGGCAGGCTGGGCGAGAGGGGGCAGTGGAGGGGCTCAAAAGCCACCGTGCTGGTCACGCCCAGAGCGCTTGGGGCCCTGGGCTGGGAGGTGGCGTTCAGAGGCTCAGAGAGGCCAACATCAGGCCCACCACCTTTGCCCCCAGTATGCCCCAGCAACATCACCCTGCCCACCGTGAGGCTCTTCCACTCCTCCTGTGACCCCAGTGGCAACACCGCTGCCATCATCCAGCTGCTGTGCCTCATCAGCAACTTCACTCCAGGTGACATTGAAGTCACCTGGCTGGTGGAGGGGCAGAAGACCGAGGGTATGTCCTTGTACAATGGCCCCCACAAGCAGGAGGGCAACCTGTCCTCCACCTTCAGCCAGCTCAATGTCACCCAGGGCCAGTGGGTGTCCCAAAGGACCTACACCTGCCAGGTCAACTATCAAGGCTGCACCCTTAGAGCCTACGCCCGCAACTGCCCAGGTACAGCACCCCCATGCCTAAGCCCCCGCTCAGGGCTGAGAGGGGCCCGGCACGGCCTCACACAGCCTCTCCCGCACACCACAGAGTCGGAGCCCCGCGGGGTGAGCATCTACGTGATCCCACCCAGCCCCCTCGACCTGTACCTCTACAAGTCGCCCTACATCACCTGCCTGGTGGTGGACCTGGCCAGCGTGGAAGGCATAAACCTGACGTGGTCACAGAAGAGTGGGAACCGCATGCTAAAGGCCACAAATAACACCAGGCATCACTTCAACATGACTTACACCTTCATATCCACCCTGCCGGTGGACACCGACAACTGGACCCAGGGCGAGACCTACACGTGCAAACTGACCCACCCACACCTGCCCAGGAGCATCGAGCGCAGCATCGCCAAGGCCCCCGGTGAGCCACAGCCCAGGGGAGGGGTGGGCCCCTGCTGGAGTCCGGGCTGACCCCACGCCTGTCCACAGGCAAACGTGTCGCCCCCGAGGTCTACATGTTGCTGCCGTCCGAGGAGGAACAGAAGAACAAGAGCACGGTCACCCTCGCCTGCCTGATCCAGAACTTCTTCCCCGCGGACATCTCGGTGCAGTGGCTGCAAGATGAGAAACCGCTGCCGCTGGACCAGCACAGCACCACGTGGCCCATCAGGGACGCGGGCCCCAGCCCTGCCTTCTTTGTCTTCAGCCGCCTGGAGGTCAACCGGACGCACTGGGAGAAAAAGAACACCTTCACCTGCCAAGTGATCCACGAGGCACTACCGAACAAGATCCTCCAGAAATCAGTGTTCAAAGTCCCTGGTAAATGATGCCCTGCCTCCCACCCCTTCCAGGGCTCCATCCTGCTGGGACAGCCCTTCTGCCCAGTGTTGTCAATAAACACTCCAGCGCCTGCTCAGAGCCCTGGGTGCACCCGTTCTTGGGGGGTAGGGCTGCGGGGCAGGGGTATCTTGGCACAGAGAAAAGAAGGCCCAGGAGAGGGGTGGCAGGGCTGGGCAGAGCTGCGATGTCTCTGTCCAACATCCTCCTCTGAGTCAGGGGCCCTCCCCAACCCACCGTGGATGCTGCCCACTCAGAGGCGTCTTAGCAACCAGAGGGTTGTCCCAGGGAAGAGATCATGGAGACTCGAGCTCAGCCCACAGCCCCTGCCTCCCAAGAGGCCCTGGAGCCTTGGTCTCCACTCGGGGCTCCTGCTGGCTCCTCTGGACACAGACAGGCTCCCAAACCCCCAGGTCCAGCTGCACACACCAGCCCTTCAGGGTGGAGGAAGGGGCTGAGGGAGATGCCCACACAGAAGCCAACACGCAGGGAACCAGGCAGCCCACCCACCAGTTGCAGGTCAGCACTTGCTGAGCACCAGTGGGGGCTAGGCCCTCAACCCCACACGGGGCCCTCACCTCTCTCCACCCAGACTGACCCGGGGAGGGCCCTCGCGAGCATGCTCCGAGTCTGCAGACTCCAGCGGTGCCACCCACCACCAGCCACGGTGCCCACACGGGTGAGCACGTGGTACACATGCTCCTGAGCAGCCTCCCTTGGTCAGTGCTTTTAACCAGGCCACTCCCAAACCCTTCCCTCCGTCACACCTGGGCCACAGGATCCAAGGTGGGTGTGGAAAAGCCCCAGCCCCACCCGGAGCCCAGCAGACCCCACGCTGCTTCCTCCTGTGGCCCCAGCCTCCCCAGTCAAACCCTCCCTGTCAGCTGCATCCACAGACAGACAGACATGGACAAAGACACACAGAGATACACGCGGATGCAATGCACAGACACACACACTGACTCATCAGACACACATGATGCACATGGGCACAGACACTAGAACACAGCACCACACGTGGACACACACACGGATACACACAGACGTACACAAGATGAGGCTCCACCCCACACCCCAGAGCAGGCTGCTGGCCCCGACCCAGGGGCTGGGATGGCAGGGATCGAAGCCCGGGACCAACCCCACCCCACTTCAAGCCCCCACCTCGTGTGCACGCCTGACAGCCCAGACGCCACACTCTGTCCTGCACACGTGTGCACGCACACACCCACACACACGCACACTCCTCAGCAGAGCAGCATCCACGGACATTTCATATGAAAAGCAGCAGACGCCTGCCCACAGCCCAGAGGCGCCCGACTGGCGCACTCCACACCAGGCCTGGCATCTCGCCGGCCGCCTCCCTCCTCGAAGCAGGAGGCTGAGGGACAGAGTAGGGCCAGTACGGGCCGGGCAGCTCCAGGCTCCCACACGGCCGGGCCACCCCATGAAGCTACGGTCTGCGGCTGCCGAGCTCAGACCCTCCTGAGGGCTCTGGGCCACCGGTTGTGTGTGTGGTTTAGAGGGTCTGAGACCACCCACAGAAAAGCTGAGGGTGGGCGCCATTCCCCAAGGTAGGGGTGGGTGGGGCAGAGCAGCAGCTGAGGGGGGCCCACAGGGCTGGCTGGGTGACCCGCAGTCAGGACAGTAGCCTGAGGACTAGAGGGAGACACAATGTGGCCACCTGGGGAGGGGTCCGGAGAGAGCAGAGGACTGAGACAATCCCCCACACGCCACCCTCAAGGCAGGGGCTTCAGACCCCAACCCTCTGGGGCTGGCTGGCAGCTCTGGGAAGTCACCGAGGGGGCCAGACAGGGGCTGCCTCCGACCTGGGCCGCGGGTCCTGCGCGGCCCCACCGCCCGAGCCCACGGCCGGGGCTGACTGGCCCGTCCCGCAGAGGTGGAGCTGCAGGACCTGTGTGTGGGGGCGGCGGAGGGCGAGGAGCTGGACGGGCTGTGGAGCAGCCTCCTTGTCTTCATCCTGCTCTTCCTGCTCAGCGTGACCTACAGCGCCTCCGTCACCCTCGTCAAGGTGGGACACCGCCCAGCAGGGCCGCGGGGGCGGGAGGCCCGGGAGGTGGGACAGTCGGGGTGCAGCCCTCACGCACGGCCTCCCCACAGGTGAAGTGGGTCGTGAGCGCCGCCCTGCAGGAGACGCCCCCGACCACCCACGACTACGCGAACGTCCTGCCGCTGGCAGCCTGGGCCCGGGGCAGGAGCTGCACAGGCCCCGCCACCTCCCTCCCCACGTCCGGGCACCACTGAGGCCGCCGGCTCTGCCCAGCGAGGCGGGAGCAGACAGCCCTCCAGCGGGGCCAGAGCCAGGGACCCAACCACCAGCTCCCGGCCGGACGGTTCCAGCCCAGGTCCAGGCCCAGCGCCAATGGCCCCGCCAGTCACTGCCGCCCAATCTGCCCCTTCCAGACTGGCGGCTGGGCATGGGCGCTGAGACTCGGCTCCTCCCAGGGCCTGAGGTCGGCGCCGCTCCCAGCCTCACCGAGACTCAGCAGGGCCCGTGGCCTGGCCCACTGCCCAGAGTCCAAGTCCGGCCTGAGGTCTCACTCCCCAGACGTAATCCCACCCTCCCGGCCCCTGGTGCCCAGCCCGGTCCTCGGCTCACCCTTCCTGCCGTGCACCCCGACCCCTGTCCCTGCGGAATGTGGAGGCAGAGAAGCCCTGGAGGGAGGGGCCCTGACACTGGGCCGACAGTGGTCCCACAGGGTCCACACCGTGGCCAACGTGGTCTGGCAACCCCAACCCCAACTGCCACGGCCTCGTCCCACCTCCCACTCCTGGCTTGGCAGTTCCATTTCCTTCCCTTTGGGGCTCTCAGTAAAGTTCCTCTTTACAAATTCCATGTCCCCTGAGTATGCTTTGGGGGAGAAGCCTGTGTCCCATGGGGGGTCAGACGAGGGGCAGAGGGCACTTCTGGGGCCCTGAGGGCCCAAGTGACCAGCTGCCGCCTGCAAGAGTCCTTTCAACACCCCCAGAAACACCTTGGCTTGGTCCCCATCACACCTGCTCACCGGTCTCCAGACTCACTGCCCCTTCCCACACTAACACAGAAGCTACAGCCCAAGCCCCTGTGGTCAGTGCAGGGGCCACGGGGATGCAGTTGCACAATCACCAGGTGGGGGCCAATCTCAGCCTCCCAGGACCACCAGTCACCCACCCCAAACTGCCCATTCACTGGGTACACAGACAGGCCAATCCTTGGCCCCTGTTCTCCCCCAGCCAGCCTGGACATCCTGGTGAGCTGAAGAGACAGGGGCCACAGGTCCCCATGAGATGGCCAGATGGACAAGGACAGTGGTGGGCATGAGTCTGTACCCTCCCCGGGATAAAGAAGCTGATTCCCTGGTTGGAGAGACCTGCCACAAGGGTCCCTGTGCAGTCCACTGGAAATGAGAGGAGAATACATGATGACATGTGACAAAGGGCAGGGTTCCCTCATATACAAAGAGCACTCGGGAACCAATGAAAGGAAAGCAGTGAGCCCTTCACAGCAAGAGAAAAACACGTGGCCAATAGTAGGAAGAACATGTTTCAATAACTAGAAAAGTTACAGTTCCAGCAAGGAGGTGGGGTCTAAGCGTGCTTTGGGGTCTCACCCTGTCTGAGGCTTGGAAACTGTTCAGACCTTTCTGCAGGCCCACTGGCCGCATTGCCAGTGTACAAATGCTCAGTGCCTTTGGGTGGCAGACTCCACTCTTCCGGGTGGCCCTTCGGAGAGCCTGGCTCCGTGCTGACTGACACATCATCACGGCTCACACGGATGGGGACGAAAATAGCTCTACAGGGAGTGTGCAACCTGCCAGGGCTCAGACTGTGGCACCTGATCCCCCATTGGAGTAGGAAACTCAAGATTGGGCAACTCCGAGGCTTGTCCAGAGACACAAGGCTAGGGCCCAGCTAGAACACTGAGGAGCAGGGGTTTCTCAAGCCGCAGCCCTGACCCTGCTGTGCCTTCACACGGTACACTGCCACACACTCGGGGTCACATACCGCCACACACTCAGGGACACAGTGTCACACACTCAGGGACACACACTGCCACACACTCGGAGATACACACTGTCACACACTTGGGGACACACACTGCCACACACTCGGGGACACACTCTGCCACACACTCGGGGTCACATACCTCGACACACTCAGGGACACGGAGTGTCACACACTTGGGGACACACACTGCCACACGCTCGGAGATACACACTGTCACACACTTGGGGACACACACTGCCACACACTTGGGGACACACACACTCTCATACTCACCTCAGTGTGCACACACAGCCACAGGAAGCCAGGCCCAACTCCCCCCAGACTCCCCACAAGGGTCTGTCAAGCAAGGCCGGGTGCCCCCCTCCTAGCCTGCTGGCCTGGGAGCCCCCAGGGTAAATCGCAGTATCTGCACTTTGACCTACATCCCAGATTATAAGACGCCCCCACGGGCCCCAGAATGAGGACATGGGCTCGGCTCATATTTGGGTGAATTGCATCTGTGCCCAGCCTGGGCCGGGGGGAGTGACGGCCCCCCCTGGAGGCCGAGTGTGGTATGGGCAGGGGAGAGGACAGGGTTTGCACCCAGGCCACAGGGCTGAGACCCATGGTGGGAACACCTGTGACCCTGCCTTCACAGCCCTCCCAGCAAGAGACTGCCTCCCCAGACTCTTCCCCACTCCCTCCCCTACTAAGCCACCATAGTGGTCTGAAGGGTCACCCCAAAAGCTAGGTCCACATCCTAACCCTGGAACCTGTGACTGGAACCTTATTTGGAAGAAGGGTCTTTGAAGATGTGATTAAAGTTAAGGATCTTGAGATGAGAACTTCAGGTGGCCCCAAATGCACTGACGCGTGTCCTCAGAGGAGAGAAGATGCAGACAGAGGAGGAAAGTGGGGTGATGTGAGGAGCCCCAGAGGCTGCAAGTGTCAGGAAGGACCCTTCCCTGGGGCCTCCAGAGGGACCGCGGCCCTGTCCACCTCGTGAGAGTCTTCTGGCTTCCCATCTGTGAGAATAAAGTTCTGCCGTTTTAAGCCACTCAGTCTGTGCACCTTAGTCATGAATGCCCCACCAGCCAGCAAGGCTTGGCCCAGCAGAGGCTCCTCGTCCTGACGAAGCCCAGGGAGGACCCATCTCCAGGCTCTTTCCCCTCCCAATTGGACCCTTACACAGCCCCTGACACACAGGAGGTGCAGGCACCCTTCCCTCAGGCCTCTTCCACCCATCCGCTGCCACCACCCGCTCATGACGACCCAGTGTCACATCTCAGGTCCCAATGGACTCCCCCTCATCTGCCCCAAGTCTCACACTCATGGTGGCATGGGGCTGTGCCATCCCTGTGTGAGCCTGGCCACGTACGCCCACCGCCCCCAGTGCCCTCCTTGGTTTCGTCCATGCCAGGCACTGTGCCGGCCGTGAGTCCCCATCACGTGTCCCTTGCTCATTCCCCCTGCTCCCTGGCTGGGTGCTTTGGGATGCTGGGGCTTTGGGCCTCACGCAGTGTGCAGGGCCTGGGGATTCACAGGCAGACAAGAAGGCAGAGCTGCAGGGACAGTCATCTGGTGCAGACAGTGCTGGTGCTGGGAGGGCGTGCAGGAGTGGCTGGGACAAAACAGGTGGCCCTGGGACCCTGGGACCCTGGGTTCCTGAAAACACTCAGAGGTTCTTTGAGCTACCCCAGGCTCCCCGCCCTGTGTCCATGCTCTGCTCCCCTGCTCCACCTGCCCTAGGGTTTTTGCCCTGTGAGGAGCTGACCTCCGCCTGGGGCCCAGTGTCATTGGCCAGCAGGTATGTGTTCTGACGGTGACAGTCAGTTCCTGTGTGTCACTCCAGAACCTCTGCGTGTGAAGAAATGGCTGGATGAATAAACACAAGTACAAACCAAGCTGCCCCTTGTGTCTCCAGGCCAGGGCCACCTCTTGGGGGGGGGGGGGGGGCTATGGGAAAGCCCTGGGCAGGAACATAGGCATATGTGGGTCGAGGCAGCACATGGCTGCCCCTACCTGCAGGGCTCCAGGCTCCCAGATGGGGGTGCCTCACACCGCCCCTGGCTTCAGTCTGGGCCCCAGCTGCCCCTGAGGCTACTACTAAAGGGCATCACTGACGGTGACAATCCTGAGTGGCTCCCACCGTCTTGCCCTACCCTGTGGTCTGCCCACTGGGGTTCACTCAGGGCCAGCCCTGTGCCTCAGGACCCCTGCCCCACGGAACCTCACAGCCTCCCCTCTGAGACAAGCTCTACCACAGTGGCCCTGAGCTCCCACTGCATTTACTTCGGCCTCTGCTTCCCTGCAACTCGACCCCAGCCCAGCCCTATGAGCAGCACCTGCAGCCTGGACCCACCAAAGCCTGGGGGTCACAGCTCAGGCCACACACACCTGGCCTTGCCACAGCCAGACCACAGACCAGACATGACGTGTAGACAAGCGGCCGCGACTGGTGGGACAGGAAGTGGGTGAGGGACCCCATCCAGGGTCAGGACATAATCTGAAGCCCCTCCCCAGTCTTCCCCTCAGCATCAGCCTCGCCCCAGAGTGAGCAAAGGCCCAGCATGGGGCAGGGGTCTGCTGAGGCCACGCAGCATCAGGCAGAGCCTAAGGCCCTTCCAACTCCAGCCCCTCTGCAGAGGACACAAGAGTGGACACAAGGTCTCTCAGCCTTGGTGGCCCTCCAGCAACCTTGAGCAGGTGGGTCCAAGGTGCTATTCGGGCCTCATCTCCTTGGCTAGGCACTTTGAGCTGTCCTGGGACCAGGGGTGTGGAGAACAGCCACCGAGACAGAGAGGACCACATGGCAGGATGCTCTACCCAGACAGGGATGAGCTGGGATATTGTGGCCTGGGCTGAGCTGAGCTGGAATGAACTGAGCTAAACTGGGCTGAGCTGGGCTGACTGGGCTGAGCTGAGCTGAACTGAGCTGAGATTACCTGGGCCAAACTGGGTTAAGCAAGCTGAGTTGGGCTGGGCTGGGCTGGGCTGGACTGAGCTGGGCTGAGCTGGACTGAGCTGGGCTGAGCTGGGTGAGCTGAGCTGCACTGGGCTTAAGTGGGCTGAGACGGGCTGAACTTGGCTTAAGTGAACTGAGCTGAGCTTAACTAGGCTGAGCTTAGCTGGGCTGAACTGGGCTGCATGAGCTGGACTGGGTGAGCTGGGCTGAGCTTAGCTGAGCTGAGTGAGCTGAGCTGGGTGAGCTGACCTGGGCTGAGCTGAGCTGGACTGAGCTCAAGTGGGCTGAGATGGGCTGAACTGGGCTGAGCTGGGTGAACTGGGCTGAGCTGAGCTGAACTAGGCTGAGCTTAGCTGGGCTGAGTGAGCTGACCTGGGTGAGCTGACCTGGGCTGAGCTGGGTGAGCTGGCCTGGGCTGAGCTGGGTGAGCTGGCCCGGGCTGAGCTGAGCTGGACTGGGCTCAAGTGGGCTGAGATGGGCTGAACTGGGCTGAGCTGGGTGAACTGGGCTGAACTGGGCTGAGCTGAGCTGAACTAGGCTGAGCTTAGCTGGGCTGAGTGAGCCGAGCTGGGTGAGCTGGCCTGGGCTGAGCTGAGCTGGACTGGGCTCAAGTGGGCTGAAATGGGCTGAACTGGGCTGAGCTGGGTGAACTGGGCTGAACTGGGCTGAGCTGAGCTGAACTAGGCTGAGCTTAGCTGGGCTGAGTGAGCCGAGCTGGGTGAGCTGGCCTGGGCTGAGCTGAGCTGGACTGGGATCAAGTGGGCTGAGATGGGCTGAACTGGGCTGAGCTGGGTGAACTGGGCTGAACTAGGCTGAGCTTAGCTGGGCTGAGTGAGCTGAGCTGGGTGAACTGGACTGGGCCAGGGCCAAGCTGGGTTTAAATGGGTTGCACTGTGCTGAGCTGAGCTGAACAGATGACCTTACCTGGGATGAGCTGGGCTGAGTTGGGCTGAAGAGGGCTTACCTGGGCTGGGCTGAGCTGAACTAGGTTGAGCTTAGCTGGGCTGAACTGGGCTGAACTGGGCTGAGCTGGGTTGAGCTGGGTTGAGCTGAACTGAACTAGGTTGAGCTTAGCTGGGTGAACTGGGCTGAGCTGGGCTGAGCTGGACTGGGCTTAAGTGGGCTGAGATGGGCTGAACTGGGCTGAGCTGAGCCGAACTGGCTGAGCTTAGCTGGGCTGAACTGGGCTGCATGAGCTGGGCTGAGTGAGCTGGGCTGGGTGAGCTGGGCTGAGTTTAGCCGAGCTGGGTGAGCTGGGCTGAACTGAGCTTAACTGGGCTGAGATGGGCTGTGCTGGGCTGAGCCGAGCTGAACTGGACTGACTGGGCTGAGCTGAGTTGAGCTGAGCTGGATGAACTGGGCTGAGCTGGGGTGAGCTGAGCTGAGCCGGGCTGGGATGAGTTGGGCTGAACTGATCTAAGCTGAGCTGAGCTAATCTAAGCTGGACTGAGCTGGGCTGGGCTGAACTGGGCTGAGCAACTGAGCTGAGCTGGGCTGAACTTGAACTCTGCTGAGCTAGGCTGGGTTGGGCTGAGTTAAAGTAGACTGAATGGAGCTGAGCTAAATTGAGATGAAAAGGGCTGAGCTGAGCTGGGTGAGCTGGGCTGAGCTGGGTGAGCTGGGCTGAGCTGGGCTGGGCTGAGCTGAGCTGGGCTGAGCTGAGCTGAGCTGGGCTGAGCTGAGCTGGGTGAGCTGGGCTGAGCTGGGCTGAGCTGGGCTGGGCTGAGCTGGGTGAGCTGGGCTGAGCTGGGCTGGGCTGAGCTGAGCTGGGTGAGCTGGGCTGAGCTGGTCTGAGCTGGGCTGAGCTTGTTGAGCTGGGCTGAGCTTGTTGAGCTGGGCTGAGCTGGGTGAGCTGGGATGAGCTGGGCTGAGCTGGGCTAAACTGGGTGAGCTGGGCTGAGCTGGGCTGGGCTGAGCTGGGTGAGCTGGGCTGAGCTGGGCTGGGCTGAGCTGAGCTTGTTGAGCTGGGCTGAGCTGGGTGAGCTGGGATGAGCTGGGCTGAGCTGGGCTGAACTGGGTGAGCTGGGCTGAGCTGAGCTGGCTAGCAGTTGGTGAATGGGCAGAGGTGGGTTCAGTGTGGATCACCCCGGGAGCCCAGTCCCCCCGTGTTTCCAGGGATTCCCCTGTGTTTCCAGGGATCCCCCTGTGTTTCCAGGGACACATGAGGGCCATGCAACCTCAGGTGTACCTGTGCCCTCTCTTCTTCCACCAGTGGCCCTGAAGGGAACAGGGAACATACAAGTGGTGCCCTGTGTGCCCAGCCTGTCTAGGGGGGACATCTCAGAAGGGCTGATTTGGTTGGACCTCTGGTCTCAAGACCGTCACAGAGCATGGGGTGGACTTCTGCTTGTTAAGGGGCTGGGTTGGTGTTTTTAGTGTGGGGTGGTTCAACCTGGACCTTGACCAGGAAGTCTGAGTGGGAGCCACAGAGCTCAGGGTCCCTCTCCTCCCCAGTGTGCCCTCCAGCACAGCAAAGTTGGCCCTCCGGGCAGGCTCAGCTTCAAGGCCAGACCCCTCTGGGCTCACCTATGTCTCCCCTCTGGGCCCACCTTTCATGACCCCCAAAATCTGGGAGATAGCATGGGCACACCTGCTGCACAGAGGAAGCTGAGGCTCCAGCGGTGCCCCCGGACTCAGCTGGTCGGCAGAGAGCCGTGTGTGTGCCTGTGACTCCATCCGGACGTGTCCTGTGTCAGGAGCATGTCCCAGTCTATGTGCTGGAGCTCTGAGCAGCATGTTCAGAAACAGTGCCGCTGGACTCAGCGACCAGTCCCACCCCGGGTCCCTGGCATACGAGCTCGGGGCAGTCACTAACCTCTCTGTTTCCCCAGGATAGAGGTGGGTGTTGTCCCATGGCATGGGGCTGTCTCGGGGGTCTCACAGCACGTCCTATGTTACAGTGTCCTCAGCCACACCCACACTCTTCCCACTGAGCCTTAAGAGCACCGACCAGTCCGGTCATGTGGTCATCGGCTGCCTGGTCCAGGGCTTCTTCCCATCGGCCCCCATCAACGTGACCTGGAGCCAAAGCGGGGCGGGCACCACCCTCAGGAACTATCTCCCAATGCAATCCGCCGGGGGCCTGTACACCATGACCAGCCAGCTGACCCTGCCAGCCAGCCAGTGCCCAGAGAGCGCGACATGCCACGTGCAGCACAACTCCAGCCCCAGGCAGGATAAGATCGTGCCCTGCAAAATCGAAGGTCAGGCCAGGGAGGGGGGTCCTTAGGTTCCCACTGGGGCTCCCCTCAGACAGGAGTGGGCTCAGGCTGAGCCCCCAGGGGGGAAGTCAGGAGGGGCTGGGGCTGGAACAGGAGGGAGGGAGGGGATGCATGGCCTGGGCACTGACGACTCCGGCTCTCTCAGGCTCAAACAAATGCTGCAAACCTCACCTGACGCTGCACCGGCCTGCCCTCGAGGACCTGCTCCTGGGCTCCAATGCCAACCTCACGTGTACACTCAGTGGCCTGGAGAAGCCCAAGGGTGCCTCCTTCACCTGGGCGCCCACAGGTGGAAAGGATGCCATCCAGGGGACCCCGGAGAAGGATGCCTTTGGCTGCTACAGCGTGTCCAGCGTCCTGCCGGGCTGCGCTGAGCCGTGGAAACGCGGGGAGAAATTCACCTGCACTGTCACCCACCCTGAGGTCAAGAACTCGTTATCAGCCTCCATCACCAAACCCTCAGGTGGGCCTGGACCCTGCCCGAGAGGTGCCACCCAGCACTCCACGGTGTGCAAGGCACATGCCCAAGCCTGCCCCCCAACCTCTCTGTCCCCCACCACATTCTAGAGAAGGAAACTGGGCACAGGGTGCCCAGTGGGCAGAGGGGTTCTCTCCTCCCTGCCCACACCCCTGACCTGGTTCCTCTACTCCCCCAGGGAGCTACCTCCCACCGCAGGTCCACCTGCTGCCGCCCCCCGCCGAGGAGCTGGCCCTCAACGAGTTGGTGACACTGACGTGCGTGGTGCGGGGCTTCAGCCCCGAGGATGTGCTGCTGCGGTGGCTGCATGGAGGCGAGCAGCTCTCCCCAGAGAAGTACCTGACGTGGGGCCCCCTGCCGGAGAACAGCAGAGACAGCACTTTCGCCATGACCAGCGTGCTGCGTGTGGAGGCCGAGAACTGGAAGAACGGGGACACCTACTCCTGCATGGTGGGCCACGAGGCCCTGCCCCTGAGCTTCACTCAGAAGACCATCGACCGCTTGGCGGGTAAACCCACCCATGTCAATGTGTCCGTGGTCTTGTCAGAGGTGGACGGCACCTGCTACTGAGCCGCCCCGCCTGCCCATCCCACCCTTGAATAAACTCCATGCTCAACCCAAAGCAGCTATGCATCCCTCCAGTGCCTGTCTTGACCCTCCTGGGCTGGCATCCCAATGCGCCCTCACACCCATGCGCTTGTATGTGTGTGTGAGCGTGAGTGTGAGCACGTGGTGCGCGAGAGTAAAGGCCCAGCTGGAGTGAAACCTGAAGCTGGTTGAGCCGTGTGAGGCAGACACAGCTCGGTGGGTCCTGAGAGCAATGGACTCCATGGAAGTTCCCACTTGTCTCAGAAAACCACCTCGAGGGGCAGCAGAAGAGAAAGAGGCGGGAGGGAGCAGGGCAGCCAGGGAGAGGTCTGCCACCGGGGTGCAGGGGCCAGGGCATGAGAGGAGTGGCCAGGAAAGGAGGGCTGGATTCCAGGGCCCCACACGCCCCTAGTGGGCACCACGCAGAGATGCAGGCCAGCCCCACTGACACAGAGAAAGGGAACAGACCACCTGGTGTGCACATGGGTGTGCACACACACCCTCCACGTGCTCACACTCACACAGGCACACACACGTCCTCCACGTGCTCACACTCACACAGGCACACACACATCCTCCACATGCTCACACTCACACAGGCACACACACGTCCTCCACGTGCTCACACTCACACAGGCACACACACATCCTCCACGTGCTCACACTCACACAGGCACACACACGTCCTCCACGTGCTCACACTCACACAGGCACACACACATCCTCCACGTGCTCACACTCACACAGGCACACACACGTCCTCCACGTGCTCACACTCACACAGGTACACACACGTCCTCCACGTGCTCACACTCACACAGGCACACACACGCATCCTCCACGTGCTCACACTCACACAGGCACACACACATTCTCCATGTGCTCACACTCACACAGGTACACACACATGTCCTTCATGTGCTCATGCTCATGTGAGTGCACACACACACAGGCACACACACATCCTCCACGTGCTCGTGCTCACACTCACACAGGTACACACACATCCTCCACGTGCTCACACTCACACAGGCACATACACGTCCTCCACGTGCTCACACTCACACAGGTACACACACGTCCTCCACATGCTCACACTCACACAGGCACACACACATCCTCCACGTGCTCACACTCACACAGGCACACACACATCCTCCACGTGCTCACACTCACACAGGTACACACATGCATCCTCCACATGCTCACACTCACAAAGGTGCACACACATGTCCTCCATGTGCTCATGCTCATGTGAGTGCACACACACACACACACACACACATCTGGGCCTTGCAGGTGCAAGAAGTTCACAGTCCAGCCCCAGCTCCAGGAAGGCAAGGGGAGTCCCCATCCAACCCCCCAGCAGGTTTTTTCCAGGCACAGCCCACTATTTCAGGTTCCTCCTGGTCACAGGCACCCCTGTTGCCCAGCTGGGCACAACTCAAGAAAAAGGTCTACAGACTCTCCAAGGCAGCCCTGCTCCCTTCCCAGTCCCCAGACTCAAGCCTTCCATTCCTTCTTCAGCCCAACTATGGCCCATAGGGTGGGGGCAGGAATGGGGAGGGGCCAGAGAGATGGCTCCCACCAGACCCTTCTCAGCTTCTGTGTGGGGCTCTAGCAGAGGAGGAGGAGGCCAGGGAATGGGGAACAGAATACAAAGGCAGGCCCATGACCACCTGGGACACCTGGCACCAGGGCCCCACAGGGGCAGCAAGGCCCCTGCCCTTGTTTTAGACACCTCTGGGCCTCCCTAGTGGGACATGGCCTTCCGGCAGCCTCGCTGTGCTCCCAGGGCCAAGGTGGAATGGGAACCCTACCACCCTGCCCCCTGCTCTCCGCCCGAGGCTCCAGTCACCCAAAGGCAGCAGGGAGAGTAAGGTGCTAACTGGAGAAGTGCTGCCACAGTGAAGGTGCTCCAGCCAGCAGGGACCCAGGCCCTGCCCCAGGAGGAGCTTCCTAAGGAGACCTGAAAGGGGGAGAGAGAAATGATGAGGGACTGAACCAGCAGATGCACTACAAGCAGATTGGCTCATGGACCAAAGGACATAGGATAGGTCAAAGGGTAGAAAGACGGGTGGACGGATGGATGCATGGGCGAGTGGGTGAATAACCGGATGTGTCCGAATATGCCAAGCAGGCCCTAATTCTGCTGAACATGGGAGGCCTATGCGCTAGTACCTGAGGACAGCAGGGCTGCCTGGTGGCCGCCTGGCCCTCTTGGCTCCTCACAGGTCCTCTTCACTCGTCCCTACCTTTCCTGGGAAGGCAACGGAGGGCCCTGGCCATGCCCATCCAGGCCTTAACACATCAAACCACAAACCCAAACCTATGTCTCAACCTGGAGCAGCTCAAGGGCGGGCTTGTCCGTTCCTCTCTGGTCCCACTCAGGGCCCAGGCCAGTTCACCCAAGAGCAGGGGTGTGGTGAGGACACAGCTGGGGCCGGGATCCAGGAGGCCTTGGGCTTGAGTTCACCTTGGAGCTACACAGACAGTGTCTGCCCTTCTGCCCTGCCAAGTCTCTCTCCCTAAGACGTCCTGAGACCGTCCAAGACACAGGTCCTGTGGGCATCTCAGGAGCCCCTTCCCTGGGGACCTGCCACCTCATTTTCCCTGGGGCGGCCTCAACCCTGTGAGATCAGGAACCAGCTGCTGCTGTCCCGACCCCAGGTGCTGGGGGGGGGTTTGGGCTCGGCCCCCACCCACACAGGTGCGTGCTTCACAGGCTCCCAGTATCCTGCCGGCTGCCAGGAGCTGCTTCCCTGGGTGCTGATGGACTACCCACAGGAGGGCTTTGAGGAGGATACCACAGAAGCCAGCCTGTGGCCCACCACGGTCACCCTGCTCACCCTCTTCCTGCTCAGCCTCTTCTACAGCACAGCACTGACCGCGACAAGTGTCCGAGGCCCGCCCAGCAGCACAGGGAGCCCCCAGTACTGAGCAGCAGCCAGCCAGGCACAGGTGGGGAGGCAGAGGCAGAGAGGGGGGCTAACATGGGTCGGAGCACTTGGCTATCAGGAACGTCTATGCCATAGAGGGTCTGGTCTCCCAGGGAGGTTGTTCCTCACAGACACTGAGGACATGGGCAGGCCTGGGGCCCGAGCACAGAGGTGCCCCCTGCAGTGTCAGGGCATCTGCTGCCCACTGGGTGTAGTCACTGCAAGATTCAATCCCGGCTCCCATGAGCCAGCCCGGGACTGGGGGTGGGGCACGGACAACAGCCCTGCCTGCCTCAGGAACTACCCCAGGTCCTGACCTTCCTGTGTTTCCAGGGAGGAGCATGGAAGAGCCTCCTATAGCCCCGCTGGACACCAGAGCTCAACCCACCTCGGAAGCCACACAGCCCTCCCCACACAGGCCATCCTGGTACAATAAACTCATCACAAACGCAGATGTTCTCTGATTCTGGATGAGGGGAGGAGCAGGAATGGAGAAGGCTTCAGAGAAAAGGGAAGCCATCTCGTGACCCAAGACAGGGTCACAGTGGACATGGAGATGGGGTCTTACTTGTGTAGGCAACCAGACCGGGTCCTGTATAAGGTGCAGGTCTGGGCAACAATGGGTTTCACCAAGAGGAGCATAAAACTAGATCCCTCACACCAAATGGGCCCAGCTCCCTGGTCCTGACCTCTGAGCCCTGGTCCTGACCTCTGAGCCCTGGTCCTGATCCCTGAGCCCAGGATCTGATCCCTGAGCCCTGGTCCTGATCCCTGAGCATGGTTTTGATAATTAAGCCCTGGTTCTGATCCATGAACCCTGGGCTTGATCACTGAACTCTGGTTCTGATCACTGAGTCCTGGTCCTAATCACTGAGCCCTCGTCCTGGCCACTGAGCCCTGGTTCTGATCCCTGAGCCCTGGTCCTGGCCACTGAGCCCTGGATCTGATTCCTGAGCCCTGGTCCTGATCCCTGAGCCCTGGTCCTGATCTCTGAGCCCTGGTCCTGATCCCTGAGCCCTGGTCCTGACCTCTGAGCCCTGGTCCTGATCCCTGAGCCCTGGTCCTGATCTCTGAGCCCTGGTCCTGATCCCTGAGCCCTGGTCCTGATCTCTGAGCCCTGGTCCTAATCCCTGAGCCCTAGTCCTGACCTCTGAGCCCTGGTCCTGAGCCCTGAGCCCTGGTCCTGCCCTCTAAACACTGGTCCTGATCCCTGAGCCCTGGTTCTGATCCCTGAACCCTGGTCCTGATCTCTGAGCCCTGGTCCTAATACCTGAACCCTGGTCCTGATCCCAGAACCCTGGTCCTGATCTCTGAGCCCTGGTCCTGATTTCTGAACCCTGGTCCTGACCTCTAAACCCTGGTCCTGACCTCTGAGCCCTGGTCCTGACCTCCGATCCCAGGTTCTGATCCCTGAGCCCTGGTCCTGATCTCTGAGCCCTGGTCCTGGCCACTGAGCCCTGGTCCTGACCTCTGAACACTGGTCCTGATCCCTGAGCCCTGGTCCTGATCCCTGAGCCCTGGTCCTGACCTCTGAACACTGGTCCTGATCCCTGAGCCCTGGTCCTGATCCCTGAGCCCTGGTTCTGATCTCTGAACCCTGGTCCTGACCTCTGAGCCCTGGTCCTGACCTCTGAACCCAGGTTCTGATCCCTGAGCCCTGGTCCTGATCTCTGAGCCCTGGTCCTGATCTCTGAACCCTGGTCCTGATTTCTGAACCCTGGTCCTGACCTCTGAGCCCTGGTCCTGATTCCTGAACCCTGGTCCTGATCTCTGAGCCCTGGTCCTGATCCCTGAGCCCTGGTCCTGACCTCTGAGCCCTGGTCCTGATCCCTGAACCCTGGTTCTGATCCCTGAAACCTGGTCCTGACCTCTGAGCCCTGGTCCTGATCCCTGAGCCCTGGTCCTGACCTCTGAACCCTGGTCCTGATCCCTGAACCCTGGTCCTGATCCCTGAACCCTGGTCCTGATCTCTGAGCCCTGGTCCTGATTTCTGAGCCCTGGTCTGACCTCTGAACCCTGTTCCTGACCTCTGAGCCCTAGTCC